ACGCATTCCGAAATACATTTCACTATTATGAAATACATTGGGCGCTTTCTGAAATATATTTGACGTTTTCTGAAATACATTTGACGCTTTCTGAAATACAATTGGAAAAGGTGTAGACGTATATCACTCAACCTATAAATTTAATCTTTCAAACCATGCTCAGTAAGTTTTTTATTTGATTTTTCTTTTTGGAAAATAGTTTCATGCAAAATAATTAAAAATAAAACCCCTCGACCGCTATGCGGTCTCGTGATTTTATTAGATTATTTTGCATTCAACATTTTCCAACAAAAACCAAACAAAAAACTACTGAGCCTAGTTTACCCGATTAAATTCATAGTTCTCGCGATATAATATATGATTAGATTATTTTGCTGTATTTGAATACCATTTTTTAAATAATTTTTTATTTTAATTTTTGAACACTAGAGTAATAAAACTAAGTGTAATACCTAAAGGAATAACAGAATGTTCTTGAAAAAATCTTTGATTGAATTTACACAGAATGCTTAAAAAAATTGAGTTTTTTCCAAATTTGACCTAACTTTTTGGCCATTCTTTATATATTTACAATTTTATTACAAAATTAGGGTTTTTTGGGTATACCAAATTTAGAAACGCTAGCTGTTTTTAAATTTAAAAAATGCCTAATAAGTTATTTCTTTTAGAGTAGTTAGTACAAACTGTAAAATACTGTACCCAATCAAAATGAAACACACTGTAAGTATCTATATTAGAATATATAGTCTTTTAACCATTTAGGACTTTTTTGGATATTTCATGGACTTCATATTAAAAAAAGTAAATTAATATTTGTAATAGCCAATTAACTAATTTAACATTTGTAATCGCCCCACAAATTGTCATTAAAACAGTTGTATGTCTTAAAGAATGTCTGATATCCTGACATCGGAGATTGGGGACAATGGTAAGTAATTGCAAATCAATTTATCCAAGTTCCCCGAGGCAATATTAGCTTGGTCGCAGGTTATGGCAACTACAAAGCAAATTTGTAGTTCAAAGCACATCTGCATTCGTTTCATTAAATAGAATATTTAAGTTTTTAGAAGGTATTAAACTTTTAATGGAAAATACTAATATTTGTATTCAAATTAATTAAAAGTTTTTAATTAAATATTGTTCTTCGTCGTATTGATTTCGATTTAATAAAATACTGATTTTAGGATTTGATGTTTTTTTGATATTTTAGTTTTTCTGTTTTTGTAATTTTAATTTTAGTATTATTTTATTGAAGTGAAACTTCTTTGGTGGCGTTCTGATATTTGACGAGAATGGAGAGTGAATTGGAAAAAATGTAACGTTCCGAGATTTCGTTACACGAGAGAGAAAAAAGATATAACGTAGAGAGAAGGAGAGAGAGAGCTATACGAGTGAACCCGAGTGAATACGATCGCCCCTCCCCAGATGCCCCTTCCCATATGCATTGTAAGCAGATTGCCGGCGTAGGCGAGGATTCAGTTTTGTTTTGCATTTGCTAGTGTGTATTTCGAACGTTTTAACATAAATTAATTTCTTTTATTTAATATTATAAGTTATAATGTCCTACACATTGCAAGAGAAAATTGACATGATAAGCTGGTCTTTAGTGGGCAATTCTCTACTTCAAACAAGAGACCTATTCTCAGTTAAATATCCGGATAGTTCTATTCCGTAAATTAGAACATTAACAAACGTTATCCAAAGGTTTAAAACAATTGTTCGCATTTCGAGGCAGAAAACGTAATTTTAGCGACATATAACTTTATGATTTCTTGATGGCAAATAGTTTGGTGAAAATGGCACAAGTTTATCTTTTTTCGTTTTGGATGATTTTTTGAAAATAAAGAACCTTACTTCGAGATCACACTGCTCTGCTGCAATAAAAGTTTGTAAAATAAGAGTAATAAAGAACAAAAGATCATTTTAATTGTTAAAAACAATAAATATAAATAATAAACATTCATTATTATCTAATTTCCATGGAATTGCAATTACAAATTCTTACAACGTACGTTCTTTACGTTAATTGGACGGCTTTCTGCAGAATGGCACCAACCCACACCATAATGAAACTGAGAAAAATGCTATCAAAGATTTTAATAATTTTAAAATTACCTGTTAATTTTATGCCGATTTTGGACTTACGGAGGTTTAAGGGATATAATTTAATAATTTCATCAGGTGGATTTTGTGATGTTATGTGTAAGGGTGACGAAAAAAATGGGCTTTTGTTGGTTGGTTCCTTTCTGCAATTTATGAAAACTACTATCTGATGTATGTATGTATTTAAAGAAAAGCGACAATTATTTATTTCCAAACAAAATACAACTGATATTACTATTATAATGGTAATATGAATTAATTATGATTCTATTTGAAATTCGTCCACATCATCTTCCAACCCCACCTCATCTTGTAAGCTACCAAAAAAATGCATCAAGACTTTATATTTTGCAGAAGCAGGAAATCTTTAAAGACTTTGGTAGTGGGTCTACCAGCCTGCTATTTTACAAAAAAGATCCAACCCACTTGCAGATATTCTACAGATTCTAATTCTGGATTAGTAATCCACACTATTATTGAATGTTGGTTGGTTCAATGATTAATAGATTTCACTACACTTGCATTTTGGCTATGACCTATTTTGCAGATAAATTATACATACTTAATTAGTTCATAGGCTAAATATCTCGATTTTTTTGGTTTTGTGGGTTGGTTCCTTTCTGCAGAAAGGCGTCCAATTATTTAATTTGCTTATAAATTGTTAGACACGGATTGGTCGGGTGTTTGGGTTACCGGCTTTCTACACAGAGAAAAGTAATCTCTTGATTTTACTATATTTGGCTTGGTTCAAATAAATTATTTATTTCGATATCTACAAGAAAATATTTATTTAGTGGAAAACTTAAGTTTATTTGACTTTTTGAACTGATATTTGATTAATACAAGTAAATATCTAGTTGACTTTTTATCTCAGGTTTAGTGGAAGCTTACTTAAAGAAACCAAACCTACATCCAAACAATTTAATTAATTGCTCTAAATAAATATTTCTTTACAATAAGTTGTTTTCAAGAACTTATTGTAAACAACAAGTTACTATGAATAAGAAAATTTTACTTCATACAAGAAAACCTGTTTCAAATAAATGCATTTTCTTAAATCAAGAGATTACTTTTCTTTACGCAGCAGGTCAGGGTTAAATTCTCTGTGGAGAAATACTTTTTTTAATTTTTTCTCTCTCTTGAAAATACTTAATTTTTAAAAAATAAAAATTGTTACCAAATGGTTTATTTCTACCAAAAATAAACAATTATGCGAACGGTAGAGTAACGAATATTCTACTGTTTTAATTATTTTATAATAATGCGGCCTATTTGTAATAACGCGGTGTAAAGCCGACAAAATACAAAGGCGTGGCGCGCTCAAAGCATGCCGCTTTTTAAGCGCGTGCCGAAAGCAAATTCGTTCTGTTTTTATGCCAAGGATATAAATTTATTTCAGAAAAAAATAATCAGTAGTTTTAGTTACTAGTTATATTAGATAGCAGTCACTGCTAAGCAGTGTCTGTGTTCGATAAATTTTCCCCTTTGTTTTAAGGTATTTAAGTTTTATTATTAAAATAATTGTAATAAACCAGCAGTACATGATCAGGCGCGTGCTGGATGATTTTAGGGCCCTCCCACGCCTTAAATTTTATGTCTTAGAGAAAGGGTTGCACTGAGAGAACAGTTTATTAACAATTAACTAGATTTATCAATAACTAATAAATGCTTTATTCGATTATGGCGGAATAAACATTTATTTAGGACAAACAAAGCATTGATTAAAATTGTTTAAATAAATCTTGTTATTAAAAAATAAAGATAAATTTATAATAAATATGTTTTTGTGAAAAAATAAATGCTTGTTTATAATAAATAAAGATTAATTTATAATAAATTGTTTTATTTGTGATAAATAAATGCTTGTTAATAATAAATACTAAAATATTTAGAAGACATAAAGCTTTATTTGTAAAACCTATACTTCAAATCACTATAAATGTATCCAGCACGTCTTTGAATCCATTGCTTTCTAAAAATTTGCATAGCTCGTCCATGGTTTGCAGATCTTCCATGTTTGGACTAGCCGGCACACAGAAAATGAGCGGTATTTTGACACTATAGGTACAATTTAAATTAATGCTATTACAAAAAGATTTCAAACGAAATACTGAAACACAGTTCAAAGAACAGAATCACTAAACTAAACAGTACACAGAACATGTTCTGCAGAATCACTAAACTTGGCAAGGCAAGTGGTACACCACGCAGACCATTCCAGAAACGTATATGCTGTTTTGTTGCGTTTTGACAGAAGTTTGAGTACAATAAACAAGAAATAAATATTTATTCATTGTTAATATTAATTCTTACCTAAAAATAAATTCGAAATTTATAATAAATAAATTTTTAAAGATTGCCTAAGCAAATAGGTATTTATTATTCCCAAATTTGCATTATTAATAATAAACATAAGGACAACAAACAAAGTATTTGTTTCTGCTAAATAAAAAATATTACGCAGATTATTAATAGTTAAAAAGGTTGATTAACAATAAATTTACTTTATTTATTGTAAATAAATGCTATCCAAATAAAGATTTGTTAACTATAGTTATATATAAACTACACTTTTTCTCTCAGTGTGGGTAACTGGTTGGGGTGTTGTATTTGTGATATTCAAATCTTACTTAGCGTGCTGGGACGGTCAGTACTTACTAATAACCAGGGACTTGTAACGCTTTTCTGGTATTATTAAAAAAATATATTTTTTACACAAATTTTATACTGTTATATTTCTTTTGAAATTATCCCTGTCTCTCTCTCTCTCTATCTGTCTCAAACACACACAAACACAACTAAAATTTCTCACATTCCCTAGTTTATAAGAAGTTTCACTTCTACCACGTGTATGATGCTGCACATGATTTTTTGTAGTAATAAATATATAAGTATTTTGCTATTCAGTTCTTTATTCTAATAAATTAGATTTACACCAAATGTAAATATTTATTGATGAAGAATGGGCAGGTTTAATAAATGTTTGTTCCAGTATTCAGTGAGTAATTTCTGTATGGACCTCCCTCAGCTAAACCTCTTGAGAACGCCTGGTTTCTTGGAAAGTATTTTGTCGGCACGCTGTGAATACTTGGTGCAAATCTATAAAAAAAAGACAAAAAATTACTTTAACACAACACAATGTGCAAATAGACGAAATTGTTTATTAAAATGGTTTTCCCCATGACTGCCATATTTGAATTTAAATGGTATGAAATTTACTACAATGTTATGGTGCCATTACAAAAACCAAAGGTAGTGATAGCAGTGGCGTGCATACAATGAAAGCACAAATGCATTGCATATACGACGTTTTGACAATTTTTATATTTTCCCATTTAATTTTAATTCCTACAATAGAAATTATAATTTTATTAAAAACAATAATAAAAATTTTAAAAATTTATCTTATTCGCCAATTATAATATATCAAGACAATACAATTCATTATAATTAGAACCAATAAAATGCCAGTATTCCATAGTTACGCATTTTATCACAGCGACAATATTTTTTATCACCTTGTTTACACGTTGCTAAGGATTTTGACACTTTTCTTGATTTGACATTTGTTGACATTTAAATACTCTGTTTGTTAAATGATTAAAATAATGAATTATAAACTCTAAAAGATCGATGGGTTGGTGTAAACGATAATAAAATTAAGGTAAGTTTGAATAAATAAAGTTTATTAAAGTCTTTTTATATTTTAAAGCACATTTTAATTTCAAATGTCAAACTGACAATTCGTTAAATCCTAAAATTCATTATATTTTGTCACTAAATATAACTCGTGGTATGATTAATTATCGATATTTACTCATTGAAACCGAAGCAGCACATTTCACTCGTCCTGCGGACTCGTGAAATCTGCAGCTCGGTTTCAATTCGAAAATATCATCGATGATAATCATATCTACCACTTGTTATATTATGGGTGAAAACATCACAGTCAAACGCTCAATAATTAGGCTACGCCCGACCGCTACATTAAAAAGCATCCCTTAGGGCCGGTTTTTCAATCGTTGGTTAACTTTATCTTACGGTTAATTTCCTTAGATACTATTGTTAACACAATAGTATCTAAGAAAGTTAACCGTAAGTTAAACTTAACCAACGATTGAAAAACCGGCCCATAACAAATTAAAGGCGAGCCCTAACAACTATATATTGGAACAAACAACTAGTTTACAAATAAAACGCTAGTTTTATTTTATTTATTGTTTTTATATTGTAGAATTGAAATTAGCAACATTTTAGATGTCATTTTATAACAGTTGTAGGAGAAAATTCTCATTATTGTATAATTGAAATTGATTTAAGTGATTCATGTTCAATAAATGCTCTCTCTAAAAATGAATTAGTCAAAAATAACTAATTTAATAGTTAATAGTGGCTGCTTTTTCACTTGTGCCATGGTTAACCATCGAATACCATGGTATCCCAAAATTTAATAGCTAATTCCTATGTAAAATTGTACCCTGAATCCGAAAATGTCTTCAAAAGTTAAAAAAGTAGAACAGTTTTTGAGATATAGTAAATTTTCCATTTAATATGGAATTGACTATATCTCAAAAACTGCTCCACATTCATAATTTTTGACGGTATTTTCGGATTCAGAGTACAATTTTACATAAGAATTGGCTATTAAATTTTGGGATACCATGGTATTTGATGGTTAACAATGGCACAAGTGAAAAAGCAGCCACTATTAACTATTAAATTAGTTATTTTTGACTAATTCATTTTTAGAGAGCTGACAACTTAATGTTGGAACAAAACGTTTTACCGAATAACTGCCTGAACTCTATCAGGCATCGTATTGCATCGTATTCTCAAGGCTTGCACATAGTTCAGGTGTAAAATTATCTCAAATGTCTTGTAATTTGGTACGCAATTGTGCCATGGTTTGTTGTAGACTATTCTTCAGATGTTGCTTCATTTTGTGCCATCCCCATTGGGATATAAATTTGCAGCACTTGGTAAAAACGAGCTGGTTAGAATGTCCTGATATTTAGCTGCATTAACAGTCCCTTCAATAAAGTGTAATGTGCCCAATTATTTCGCCGACATACATCCCCACACCATAATCCCTTGTGGAAACTTGGCTGTTCTTTTGAGACAATCCTTATGGCTTGTCTCGAATGATGCGTTTTCGGTACTTTCTCACGCAAACATCAAATTTACTTTCGTCACTGTAAATGACTTTACTCCAGTCATTTCTAGACCACGACAGCTTAGATTTAGACCAATTGTAACGATTTTTTTTGAACTTCCGTCAATAATGGTTTTTCTTTAGCCTGTAAATTTATATAAATATATAAATAAATATTAACTATACTTTATAAAAGCTGAGACCACCTTGGTGGATATATTTACGGCAGCATTCTCGGGAAATTTTCATTACAGACTCTATTTCACCTTGCAGTCACTTCCCGTAGCGTGTTTCTTCTTCCTGACTTGCAAATTTGAATCACATGTCTTGCGCTTCTTTGAGAAACAATTTTGGGACGACCCGAACTTTTACCACGAATATTAATATTCCCGGTTTCACCATATTTTTTAAGGATATTAAACACAGTAGACGTTGCTATCGCAAATTGAGTAGAAATTTCACGCATTGTTTTGCATTTATGGTACTGACTGATAATAATTTCGCGTACTTTTCGATCGGTAGGCTTCCCGCGTATCAATATTGCTATTTAATTGAGCAAAAATTGTAATTGACAGTATTTAAATTGTTGAATTGATAAAAGCTTCGTTGTCATAACCATATTTTGTTTCAAAGCCATTGAGATAAAAGTGAAGAAACTATAGAGAAAAGAGAATATGTGTTCAAACAATTAGTTGCCAGCGATTTTTGTATATGAAACAGTTAAATAAATTCTAATAAAAAATATTAGGAATTTTACCACACAAATGTTATGAAATGACAAATAAAATGTTGCCAACGCCAATTTTTCAATTTAAAAAAATTAAAATCAATAGTATATTACACTACAAGGGCAGAAAGTGTGAGATTCCTGCACTGCGCGCCATGATGCCCGAGGCGAAGCCGAGGGCATCATGGCGCGCAGTTCAGGGCTCTCACACTTTCTGCCCGTGTAGTGTATACTATTTTTCTTGCTACCCGGCAGAAAATACGGGAAAAAATTAAATGTATATACAAAAACTTGTGTCAAAATTAAAATCTGACGTTTAATTTAATTCTGAAGTTTACATTCAAAATCAATCAACCTGTGGCGTTGTCATGGTAATTCAGCGGTGCCAATACAGTAAAAATAAAAGGTTGTATTTTAATTAACAAATTACTACTTTATAACAAATAAAAGTACCATTAAACACTTAAAACAACATAAAAAGTAAAAAAGTAAAAACATAAATTGTTTATTTGATGTTATAATTGCAAAATTATGGTTTAAAACTGTCATAGTTTTGTGTTTCTCATGTTGGCAGTACGAAATTTGAATGTTAAGCACACGACTAAAAAATTTTTACTCCCGCTATTAGAGTGTGCGCGTATAGCTTGACCAATGCAAGAAACGTAAACTTTCTGCCGTGAAATCGGGGACGAAACAACGTATTTTGAGTCGAGGTAGTAAGAAAAATGATTTAATAAACAAGCATTTTATTTGCAAAATAAATACTTGTTCCAACATATAGTTGTTAGGGCTCGGCCATTTCAAGCCGACGGACGGGACAAATTACAAACCTTTTTTATAAAGATAATTTCAATATTTGACAGGTGTAGACGGGACAAAATATAGTATATTACACTACAAGGGCAGAAAGTGTGAGATTCCTCAGGTCTCTCACACTTTCTGCCCGTGTAGTGTATACTATTTTTCTTGCTACCCCGCAGAAAATACGGGAAAAAATTAAATGTATATAAAAAAACTTGTGTCAAAATTAAAATCTGACGTTTAATTTAATTCTGACGTTTACATTCAAAATCAATCAAACTGTAGCGTTGTCATGGTAATTCAGCGGTGCCAATACAGTAAAAATAAAAGGTTGTATTTTAATTAACAAATTACTACTTTATAACAAATAAAAGTACCATTAAACACTTAAAACAACATAAAAAGTAAAAAAGTAAAAACATAAATTGTTTATTTGTTGTTATAATTGCAAAATTATGGTTTAAAACTGTCATATTTTTGTGTTTCTCATGTTGGCAGTAAGAAATTTGAATGTTAAGCACACGACTAAAAAATTTTTACTCCCGCTATTAGAGTGTGCGCGTATAGCTTGACCAATGCAAGAAACGTAAACTTTCTGCCGTGAAATCGGGGACGAAACAACGTATTTTGAGTCGAGGTAGTAAGAAAAATATTTTTAGTTTACGCGCAGTGCAGGAATCTCACACTTTCTGCCCTTGTAGTGTAATATACTATTTTTGTCCCGTCCGCACCTTTCAATTATTAAAATTATTTCTACTTTTATAAAATATTTTTTGAGTTTTTTTATTTAATGTATAACCTAATAAAAGAAGAATATTTTTGATGCCAAAATATTATATAAATATTCTACATTTTTTTTTATAAAAACAGTTTTGTAATTCGTGCGTTTCGAGCGCTTGAAATGGCCGTATTGTTTGTTATGCTTTAGTAATTGGTTAGAAAGCGAGTACAAGCTATATCATTACAGGGTTTGGTTATAAAAGCTTTATTATTTAATAATATTTATATTTTTTAAATGTCATGCATTTTTGTGAAAAACTGAAACCCGAGAAGACAAAGTTTTGTTAGTTTAGTTTAGAACAAGGGATTGTTGTTTTGCTTGTGATTGTGAGTTCTGTTGGTTAGAAAGATTATGTAAATAGTGTTGGTGTTTTTTATTATTGTAAACTGTCTGGAAAAGCCTATTAACAGTAAGCCCTTTACAAGTATGACAATTTACCGAATAACAAATTGTTAGATTTACCCAGGACTTAAAAAAGAAATCTTGGACAAAGAAATAAATTTTCGATTCTGTTGCACACCCCACTATAAATGGCACTGCACGCCACTGGATGATGGTATCTCAAAACATAGCAGCGAAGAAATGTGATGAACATGTTGAGAAATGGGTATGTTTACAATTTATAAATTTTAATATAT